AATGAAATTATGACCTTAACATACAGTTGAGTAATTAACGTAACATTACGGCCGTTACGTTTAGGAAAAAAAGGCACTGTGATGTCGAACCTTAAAATGAATTAAAGTTCACTCAAAGTTCAGATGAATCCGAACACGTGCTCTGTCCTCCCAGCTCTGCAGGAGCTGGGAGGACAGAGACCGGTCAAAGTGCCTTCACCAGGCCGACTGACAGCAGACGTTCACTGAACCAAAATAGTTTTCATGTCAGCTCCGTCGGTGTTTGTATGTATTGCATGGTGTGATTGTGTGTTTGTTTGTTGACAGGCAGCACCTATCATTGCAATGCCTGGTCCAGATCTGTATCCTGTGGATCGGCTCCTGGCGCCCCGACTTTATTTTCAGGTTAAAGATCATCTGTTAAACCGACTGACTTTCTGATGTGAATGGAATTTAGGATGAGTTGACTCCAGACGTGGATCACACTGTGATGTTTGTGTGGTGATGCAGTGGTCACCTCACAGTAAGGAGAAAGAGGGTACTGGGTTCAAACCCACCTGGCCCTTCTGCAGTTTGGCCCCGATCACATTCAAAGTGTTTCAGCAGCTGGAGGCGGCTTTTTGTGACAGTTTTTCATGAGTATGAAGCTTTTTGCTCGCTGTTTTCACGTTGCTGCGCGCCTCATGTTTCTGAGCTCTAGGGTTCTGGCGTTTTATTGCCGGAGTGTTCCGAACTCCTCGAGTTAAAAAAACATCAATTCAGAGCGGAAAAATGTCACATGTCATCTCTGCTTTTTCCCCATTGCCCAGTCAGGCGGGGCTTCTGTGGTGGTCACGACAACAAGTTTACAGTTGGTAAACAACGGAGGAGAAACTGGTGGTAGTGGTTGCTGGATACCCAGAGCTATACGGCCTGATGAAAGACAGCAGGTTGTCAAACTGCCCCTGAGTCATCCTAAAATCTGCATCCTAAAAAAACGTCCATGATGGAGGAGAAGCTCCTGGACCAACTGGTGGTACTCCCCATGATCCAGCCTCTTTTTTAGGGTCTCATGTACCCACACAGATCTCTGTTTATCTGCTGACAGCCTCTCACCCTCAACCAGAGCTACAGACAGTAGCTTTTCTTTTTTATTACTAGTAGCATTCAATTTACACAAATAAAGGCAGTGTGGTGCGCCTCGTGTTTTGCAACCCGCAAAATGCCTTCTGTGTGATCGGGGCATGTTCACCTCACGTCAGTGGCGCTTTCCTCCCACAGTCCAAAAACATGCAGGTTAACTGGTGACTCTAAACTGCCCGTAGATGTGAGTGTGAGCGTAGATGGTTGTTCGTCTCATCTCATTGCCAGCCGGGATCAGCTCCAGCCCCTCTATGACCCTCTGAAGGATGAGCATGTATAGCTAATGGATGGATGAATGGATGAGTAACCCAGTTAACCATGACTCTTATACTGCAGTGTGAGCAAATGACTGCGGGGTCACAAAATATGACTAACTTTTGCATATATACAAAAAGACCAGTGCTTGGACAGATTTCGTCTTCTCTGTGCAGCCTGGAAACGTCCCGATATTCGACCCCCATCTGTCTCTGTTTTAAAGTTACTGTTGTTCCAGTTTTGGAACAAAGGGAATGCTGGAAAATGTCTGGAACACATTTTTATTCTTTTATATTTTTAGTCAGGTTGTACTGATCTGATTGTAGGTCATTTCACTCCTCTGGTTGTGGGAATATTTTGGTATTAAGCCGGCTGTTATCTTTACTAATTATCACAAACTTTTCTTGTAGTAATGCTGTGATGGAAAAAGTATTCAGATCATTTCTTCAGTCCAGCATATGTTAGCTTTTACTCAAGTTAACGTACACTTACCAAACACTTATTATACAGCACAACTCCCTTTGTCAGATTTATACTTTTGTTATTTATATGAACAGAATATTATTTGATCATCATCTTCCGCAGACCTCAATAAGGACATGATTCATCTTAAATATCTTTGTCTCTATTTGTGGGTTTTTGTGGGGAGCATCAGATGACATCAAGCAATTTCGGAGGAGGCTGATGGAGCCTGCGTGCAGAGGACAGAGGACAGAGACTAAGACAAAGATCGTCTCCCTGCACACGTCTATTTACACAATCTAGAAAAAGAAAAAGCCGCTCAGCTTCACCTTCACCTGATCGGCTGCACCTTGCTGATGAGTCTGTCACCGATCCAGAGGCCAAATAATGCCAATAATTAAAACAAAAGAATGAGCTATCAGCAACAATCAGGTCTGTTAGCAGCTGCTTTGGTATTTATAATAATAGTTATTATAATAATAAAAATAGTAATAAGTTAAGCAGAAAGGATTTACAGGATAAAAAATAAAATATCAGAAACAGAGGACACACAGGAGCAGACGGAGGAGCGAGTGCAAAAATACAATGTCATGTTTCAATAAGTAAAATGTGGATGGGAGAAAGAGGCTCATCCACGCAGGGAAAATCTGAGTAAAACAAAAAAACATATGTATAAAAAAATTAGACCTGATCTCAAATATGTGGAAGTGCTTATAAAACACACACTATAAAGAGAGGCCTTCTTGTAACAGTGAGTTTTAACGGGGCACTTAAAGCTTCGGTGGAGTCTGCCGATGTCTCACGCTGAGGGGAGGCTGCTCCAGAGACCAGGGGCCGTCTTGGTTTTCAGCCTGGTCCGTGGGACTGCTGAAAGGTTTCGATCTGGGCCTGACTGGGCTGTCAGGGGTTACGTAGCTGATTCAAAACATTTTAAAGTGTATTCTAAAGATAATGGGCGACCACCCAGTGCAGTGATGCTGAGGAGAATAATCTGGCTGCTGTGTGAGTTGCAGTTTTGAGACGGATGACCGGAAAGCATGTGTGACTTTTTCTGCGTCGTTAAATCTGGGCATGTGTCTGATCTTGGAGATGTTAAACTGATAAAAACAGGTTGTGACAATATTTCCAGAGTGCTGTTCAAAACATAACTGGCTGTCAACAATTATCATCATCACTATTACACTGGCACAGAAACTAACAGCGTGAGAAAACAACCTCATATAGACAAACATCTCTGTCCCCTGTAGGAGACGTCTCCATGTGATGTTTCCTATGAACTGAATTCACTGACATTTGTTTCCAGACGTTATTAGACAGGGAGAGAGTGGAGCGCTGCAAAGATCTCCGTCTGAACGCATCGTGTTGTGACTTTTCTTAAAACAAGTGACCAGCGATACATCAGAAGATGACTCATGTTTGCTCCTCTGTTGTATGAATTAGATGTAACGTGGTCACTGCGCGACAAACCAGAAGAGTGATGATGATTTTAAGAAGATTATCGTAACAAGATCATTTGCGTTTCATTGTTAGAACTCAAAGAAAAACAGAAAATGACTCAGTAAGACGGAGACAACTGATTTAAATCATGTAAAGTGAAGTCACATTTTCTGAGTGATTTTGTCATGAATCATAAATCAAAGCAACGGTCGCCATCATCATGTATTGATCATTTTTGTGCTCTGACCGTGTGTAAGAGTCTCAGTAGCCGCCGTCCTAATTGAAACATGTCTTTGAGCAGCTGCTGATTTGTCATGGGGTGCAGCTCTGCTGCTTTAATTCCAGACATGTTTGCAGCGCTGGGCGCGCTCTGCAGCAGCATTACAGTGTCGGGCTGACAGGCAGGAGGGGATCTGCTTGGTGGAGCGACGCTGCAACACTGGTTTGCCCCATGGATTAGATCTGCTGCTGACAGCCTGATGACTGCAGAGACGCACAGAGAGCAGGACACACAACAGAGGAGACAGGAGGCACCAAAGGGCCTCTGTGCAGCCGCAGGCTTTGCTGTTATTATCTTACGTTTTTTGCACTGAAAAATAAATGACTTTATGTTTGGTGACTGAGCTGTTAGGATACAGCAAACAACTGTGGCTGCAGGAATGTTTTGCACATCTTCCCTTATTCCATAACAATATTCCAAACACCCAGACATGAGCAGCACATTTATGTTTGTACTGCACACACCACGTCAATTGCATCAGTTGCTCTTCCTGAGCTTTCTACCATTTATTTCCCAGTTAAAGGTTTTTTTGGGGAGTTTTTCCTGATCAGCTGTGAGGGTCATAAGGACAGAGGGATGTCGTCTGCTGTAAAGCCCTGTGAGGCAAATTGTGATTTGTGATATTGGGCTTTATAAATCAAACTGAACTGAACGCTATATATTCATTTATTGAAGCATTTATTTATTTTGCTGCAAACATGCAGTCACCAAATATTATGATGTATTTCTGCAGCTCAGAGAGTCTGTGAGGTTGTGACACATCTTAGAAACCAGAGCTGATCAAATGGCCTCATGTGTTATTAGAATGGATTAATTGCATGAATAATGTCGCTGAGTGCAGCTCTTCACTCACAGCTTTTACATTGTGGTATTTCTATTTTACCTGAATGATACTGGGTGAGAAGAGACGGAGACACGCTGAGATCACAGAGGAATGGCCACTCATGTAATGACTGACATAATGAAGATCATATCAGACGGATTAAAGCCCAGCGGTGCAGCGCTGCTGTCCTGTTGTTGGCCGGCGTCTTGTTACCGTTGTTCAGAGTGCTCACACTTCTCTCCATCCCGCCTACTAAGTAATGCAGAAACCCATGAGGACTCCAGTAATTACCCAGCTTCTCCTCACACTCTGACCTCTGACCTGCTGTCCCATTAAGCCCATCCACCTCTGGTCCATGACCAGACTCTGCCGCTAGTCTTTCCCCTTTCAGGGAACAATTCCCTGGTCAACACACACACACATAAACACACACACACACGCAGATATATCGGTCGTAATAACAGCAACTGTTACATGCCTAACTCGTGCTCAGCACTTGACTCCACCAGCTGTGTGTGACATGTGTTAAATGGAGAGTTAACTCTGTGAAGTCGCGCGTAAAACAAGTTTTGAAAAGTGTCCGCGCGCAGAGCGTCACACTGTGCCGCTGCTGTTTGCTCCTACATGCTCAGTTTGTGTTACCTGGTTGTTTTTGCACAGATCAGCCCACATGCTCGTGCCGTCGCCTCCGCGCATCAGGACGTGGTAAGTGAAGAAATAAATCCCGGGGATGGAGCACGTGAACTTCCCGGTGGTCGGATCGTAGTGGTTTCCCAGGTTGGTCACAACGTCGTCGAACTTGAGCACCTCGTAGCCCTCGTGCTGCTTCTTCAGCCCTGCGTAAAAGGCGATCTTGGGCACGGTGCTGTAGGTGGCCGCGCTTATTGCTCCGGCAGCTGCGCTGGGTCCCGGAGGTCCCGGTAAACCAGGTCTGCCCGGTTCACCTCTCTCTCCAGGTGGCCCCGCTGGACCGGGTGGTCCCGGCTCACCGGGAGGTCCCCTCGGACCCGCCTTGCCCGGACGGCCCGGCTCCCCTTTCGGACCTTGGATAAAAGTGGGTAAAGACTGCACGAGGCTGTTGTCTCGGACCGTGTCCGCCGTGGCGGTGCTGGTGGGAGATTTGGTGCCGTACGGGTCGCACACCATCCTACAGGTGCCGAGCATCTCGTAGTGCGCCGCAGTCCCCGCTGAGTTGACCAGAACCGGGATGAGGATGACCAAAACCAGAACCATAACGACCCCCAGGACCCCTGCCGCCACCAGCCGCTTCCTGCCGACCAGCCGCGTCAGCGCAGGACGATCCTGTTGTCTGCTTTTGGGTGAAATTTTGCTGGCTGGAGAGGAAACCCCTTTGAAGAAAAAAATGTAGCGGAGCTACACTTTGTTGGTAATGTTTGATTAACTTTTTAAAAGCGAGCCCCCCTCCCCTCGGCGTCCTCTCCTCTCCTCTCCTCTCCACACTTTTTCTGCTGATGCGCTGCTTCTTCAAGTCTCTCCTCAAAGTTCTTTACTGTTCGCTGATTTCCAAAAGCACTGGATTCAGCATGTCTGCAGTCCAGACATGGGGTCTGGCCCCTCTTTGAGCCACAGGTCCCGAGCCAAAGTCAACTCTTAAGGTGGATCAGAGCCAGTTAGACCGTGTGCCTCACACAGAGCGCGCAGAGTCAAAGCGCAGATACACGGCACGAGCGCATCAGAGAGAGACAGAGAGGGAGGGAGAGGATCCTGATGCTCTCTCTGTTGGCCAATAGAAAAGGGGCAGGTTACCCAAAGAGCGTTTCATAGAATCTGAGAGCAGTCAGAAAGGATCTTTGTATTTGCTGTTGAGGACTCATCACAGACTGTCATCAACCCGTCATCTGTGAGTCTGCTGTGATGATGCTCTGTTTGGACTGTCTTTGTTAAACTGTGAGAGGCTGCAGAGTTTAATAAATCCTTGAAGCCAGAACTCATCGCTGCCCAGACACAACCCACACTCACAGCAGCAGCAGCAGCAGCAGCCTATAAATGTAGAAGCATCTACAGCTCATGTTGTGTCTGAACTCTTCACACAGCCACACACTGTGCTTTGGTTTAACTGTATTCATCATCCTATTCTGTAAGAAGATAAACTTTATTAATCCCTGAGGAGAAACTTAATTGTTTCACTCTGTTGTCTCACACACACACACACACACACACATAATCATGCAGTTAATTTCTATCAACTGCGAACACATGTTTTCCTTCTGTTTAACACAGACAAAGTGTTTGGTTTGTCAGTGAGATCTGTGTTGTGAAAAACGTGTGAACACATTCACAAGAGGAGACTAAAGCGCTGAGGAGGTGATAATGAAGATCGAGTGGATCCCAGTCTCATTTATCGTGTCTGAGCAATCAAGAAAAACTGTCAGTAAGGTCAGAGCGAAATATTTTGTCCAGTACAGACGTATATTTCAGGGAGGAATATGGTTGGCTGGACATATAATGTTCTCAATAAAAGTGCATGAATTACTTAGTTTTAACAAAAATATCAGACAGAATCTTTTGATGCCAAGACGACTGATTTATACTTCACATACCAGCAGTCAGAGCATGTGCATGAAAGACAAGCGAGCGTATCACAGCATGAATTATATTCTTTTCTCTGAAGATGATTTTACCAGAGAAGAAAAACCCTGCTGCACTTTTACACTTTTGGAGACGCTCTGTTGAAATACTGTAAAAAAGACATTTTAAAACAAAGTTCTCTTCATTTTATTACTTTAATTATTCATTCATACGTGACTTTGACCTCCAACACAGAGGTGACATCTGTTATAGCAGAGTAAGGCCTGATGGCTGCGACACATTTTCACTCACATCGCTGCTTGGTCTTTGGACTTTCACGTCCACATATGACGCGCTGGGTATCCTGGGTGCGTCTGTTGTTGACAATCTGGGACACTTCTTAGGTGCATTGTGCCAGTCTGAGACGCCTGCCGCCCAGCACACAATGCACCCAACCCTGACTCCTGTCCCTGCGGGTGCTGGGCCCAGCAGCTCCATGTTACTTGTTCAGTGTGAGCCTGACCAGGCCCCATGGCTCAAGGCCCGGCCACCAGGTCTGGCTCCAGAGGGGGGAACCTGGTTTACCTATAACGGGTGAGGTACTCATTGTCCAAATTTTCTGATCTTCTTGAATCGCTCTTAGCCTGGCCCCTCCACTGGGACCACTTTGCCTACCAGGGGCTATTACCCCCGGACAACACAGCTCCCAGGATCACAGGGACATGCAAATCTCTCCACCACGTTAATGTGGCGATTCTCAGAGAAGCTTTCAATTTATTGGTCCATCTATGTCCCAGCCCTCACCCATGGTCCTGAGCTGTGTGTAGTGACCGAAAGAATGAGGTGGTGAGTTCCCTCTGTAGCATGTCTGGGCTCAGCCTGAGAGATAGGGGGAGGTGCTCAGACATCTGGAGGGAGCTCGGAGTAGAGCTGCTGCTCCTTCGTGTCAAAAGAGGTGATCTGATCAGAATCAGGACCCAGAACACACTGGAGGGATTATAGATGTCATCAGGCCTGGAAGCACCTCGGGGTCCTCCAGGAGGACCTGGAAAGTGTTGCTGGGGAGAGGGACGTCTGGTGCGCTTTGCTCCTGTGACCTGGCACCGGATATGTGGATGGATGGACATTAGAGATGCTCGAATGGCGTTTGAGCGCACCCGAATCCTTTTGCACTCATCAATCATCCAACCGACGTAATTATCTTCTAAAATTTAGAGACCTGCACCAAACATTAAGTTATTGTATTTACATTTAAATTATGTCCAGCCATTCGTGCTCATTCGCTTTTCATACAGGCACATTTTCTTGACTTGAACAATTAAAAGATTATAGGCTACTTTCGAATGTGGTCACATTTCTAATGTAAAAATGACTCTAGCCTAATATTGTTTGCTCTGTTGCAATAATAAAAGTCTTTGAAGTAAGTCAAGTCCTCTTGTGCCCTGTTTTACGCAGTGTGAGGTCCACCTGCAATCCACCCAAAATTAATTACAATGTTAAATTTTATTGGCCCACCCAGCTGCAGATTGCAGATATATCCACAGATGTCACAGATATATCCGCAAGATTTACATCTCTAATGGACGTGCATCATGTCTTTTCAAAATACACTTCGGTTTTCAGAGGACATGCACAGTTTCTGCTTGTTAGATGCACACAGTCTTTTTCAAAACAAACTTACAACATCACTAAAACATCTTATATTTCATTGTGCAACATACGCAAAAAAAAATGGTTCGGCTGTATATTCATACAGGAAGCAAGAACTGGGCTCCCAGGGGAAGTCTGGTGTTGTTGGATCCATCTACCACCCTCCTGCCCGCCTGCTCTATAGGGACTTTCAAGATCCTTAAAGTACTTTGTTGTCAGGTGGCGTTATTAACTGATGCTGCACGATAAAATAACCTAACGCCGTGAAAGGATGGACGTTTGCCAGCGATGTCTGACGCAGAAATCAACGACCAAGTGACGATATTTGACGACTTCAGAATGAGAGCAGATTGCAGACTGAAATGTTTTGCTATTAGAGATTCATAATCATGCAAGTAATTATTGTCACCTGTGATGGGTCTGGGTCTTTTGATGAGATCTGTGGTAACGGTTCTGTTGAAGGGTGTGAAGTGTTAACACATTATCAAGAGAAGACTTCAGCTGTGAGGTGATGGTGAAGATCAAGTGGGTCCCAGTGTCACTGTGAGTGCGCCGTTGCAATTCAGAAGAACTGTAATTATCAAACATTGTGCAATAAAAAAATAAACTTTACTCGCTGTGAATCCATTTTTCCCCCCGATTGTTAAAATGACAGAAAAAGACATTTTCAGACCATTTTTGTGGAGAGAGATGACAGAGCTCAACCATGTGAGGAAGGCTGGATTCAACAAGACCTCCAGACAGTTATGTGACAAATGAAAACACTGCTATTGGTTTCCTTTGGGCCCTGACTCTTTTGAAAGTATTGTATCATAACTGAAGATGCATTGTGTCTATGTAAAAGGCCTAAAATACATATTTTACTGCACCATAGAGCGGTAAATACCAGCTCTATTTCAACATAAATAAACACTATATATGCTCCCTCATGTGTCATTTTGACTGGTCAGTTTGTTCAGTTATTATATTGAATATAGTTATGTTGACCTCGTTTATGGGCCTCGTTGTTCAATTCTTGGTTTGCAATTTTTCATGCATTTTTGGGTAAATAAAAACCCACAGTTTTGTCAACAACTCCTGTGTCCTCATTGCCTCACTGATTGGTCCCTTATAGATCCATTTATTTAAAAATGCCCATCAGCTGTTTCAGTAAAGCTTCTGAGCTTCTGTTGTTGCAGATATAAAGGCTTTATACTAAATAATAATCACGCAGGTCTCATTTAATGTTTGTACGTTTTCCTACAAAAAGAATGCACCAACATTCGTACATATCCCATGCAAGCATAAGCCTGTAATCTGTGAATAACTCGACTATTTGGAAGGCTGCGATCACCTGATCAATGCAGTGACAAGAGAAAAAAAGGAAGTGGTCCATTAAGGATGGAGGTTGGGTGGTGGATGGATCACTAAACACAGAACTGTCCCCAGGAAGTTGGTGTTTGGGACTATGAGTCATTTTAAGACACGTCATCACCACGTTTCTTTTTCTAAACATCTGTAACTTTATGTTAAATATGCAACTTTACGTTAAGAACGTTACATAATGCATGAGGTGCTGATTTGTAGGATGTGATACGTACTGTTGTATGAGGACACTTTGCACTCCTTCATGCTCCATTACAGTAACACAGCTCACTAACACTGTGTGGTCGTATGGAAAACAACAAGGTCTTTTGAGATCTTTCAGAATAAAGTAGGGACAGTTCAGCAGCACCATTCCCACTTGTAGCCAATACATTTACCAATAGTGAACAAACTGAGTGCAGGTTCTCTGCTTTACACTCAGTTTGTAATTTAATAACACACTCACCAATGGTAAGAGCATGTCCCTACCATCCATATCCAAATCCACGCCTATGAACAAAGTCATTTGTCTTGTGGATCAGGAGAACACAGAGGCAGTATTGATGCCACTAAAATCAAACTAACCCCGTCTTCCCTGGCTTCATTAGGCTTCCAAACGTCCACTTATCGAGAGTCCCTGAAAATGAGCTGTGAAGGTAACGGAGGATCATTGGATTGGCACTTCACTCAATATCAGCACGGTGAATGATGAATTGCTGTGGAGGAGCCACAAGAAGGCGAGGGACTGAACTGGACAGAGTAATAATAATAATCATCATAAACTTTATTCATACAGCAAACAAGTGTTTCAAAGTGCTTCACAGGG